GTAAAATACACAGGATTGTAATCAGGCCCAAAATATTTAGCATCTACAATGTGTAATTTTGCCCCTTTGGAGGAGGTCAGGTAAAGGATCTCCTCATTACATTCTATTTCCATTTTGCCTTTAAATTGAATGTATTAATTTCTTGTGTTCCATAATTTCTTGCTTTTGTCTTGACTTCTGCTAGATTATGCCCTTTCCAAATATTTCATCTTTTAAAACTTTCAGAGTCAAAGGAGGGGAAAGCAAGAGGACAAAAGGTTGATTTTCTTTTCCATGTGTCTCCTGACACCCTCCCCTCACCAAATCCTATTCTCCTCCCAAGAAAAATGAAAAAAGACCTACAATTAACTTAGATGAACTCCCTGGCAAAGAACATCAAAAAGACAGTAGAAAAGGAATTAAAGTATTGATATTTTTGAATTAAAATTCTCCAAATTTAAATAAATTTGCATTTTTTTGTCAAGAATAAGTTGTATAACTGGAAAAATTCTACAAAACCTTTATTTGCTTAAGGCCACTCAATTCTCTCATTAAATCTATGAACAAGCTTAATTAAAAGAAACACCAATGCATTTGTGAAATAGAAGTATGTCTTTGAACCATTTAAAACTCCAACATTTGTTCAGGATATGAATACCTGGTTTAGAAATTCAGAGAATCTCTGTGGTGTGTCTCCTCTCCATGGGTGCAAATGAGACAAATGAAAATGTTGACCCTATGTTTCATACAGGAAACATGCTAGTTTAACTCCAAAGAGATACAAATGCACATTTCTGTATTGAAATAAATACGTTTTTTTAACATGGAAGGAGGACTGACCACTTGTGGCCCGCTGATGTAGTTCTCAGTGTTTGCACTGGAGGTCTCACTGGCATTTAATGAGCATGGCCCTCTTGGCTGTCAAGCTTCTGTGCCTGGGCTGTAACTAGCTCAGCCTCACTCTCCTTCTGCCTGCTGGAATTCTTAGTAGGAAGAAACAGCAGTTAATGTGGAACATACCCTGAGTTGAGGGATAAGTCCCATCTCTGGAGGATACCAGGAAGATTTGTGTTTATGTATGCAATGGTGAGGAGCAGATTCAGTCCCTGTAGGATGGTACTTGGTGAGAGATTTCTCATGACCTTCCCACACGTGATGTAGGATTTGCCATTGACTTGTTATTTTGGGGTAGTGCTGCCTCCATTATTCTGGATGGTTACTCACAAAGTGTCCCTTTGGGCACAAAATACTGAACTTCTCTGTGTGGTTTGACTAACCACACATGAAGTATGTGGACCTTAGCTTCTCCAGAACAGGCATCCAAACTTAGTTGAGAACTTAGAGCTAAACTGTGTTTCTGTGTAATCTGTAGTGTGACAGCTTCTGCTTAGTACACTCTGTGCACTTGGCCATGTTTTTTTGTGGCTGGTTCTCTGGTAAAGGAGCCCCATGGAGAAACACAATGTGCCCTGTGGCATTTTAATGTTTTAGAAGTTCTTGATGATTCTCTTGATGATTCTTGATGATTCTTGATGATTCTCTTGATGATTCTATGATTGCAGTGGCATATCTTAGATAATAAATAAATAAATCTTAGAAGCAGAGATGCTTCTTAATATTTTTGCCTCCATACTGACTTATTTAAATGGATATTGTGAAATAAGTCTGTGTACAAACTCTCAGGTACATCAGGGCTGCTGCAATGAGGAGCACAGGAAGTTTACATGTCAGTGTTGAAGTCTGTATTTGACTGGTTTGAGGTAGAAAGGGCACTGGTTGAATGCTAGTTAAAAGTGGGGGGAAAAAACCAAAACAGACAACGCCCCATCAAACTATGAAACAGCTTGTCTCTCTACAAGTATACCCATGTATCATGCTTTTGTTAGGAGGAGAAGAATAAAAGCTCCTTCCCAACACAGATTTAGTGTTTTGCCCATCTACTGCTTTCTGTGGTCTTGAGCATCCTGTTGGTCTGGCAACAGCTGCCCTGCAGTGAAGTGAGTTGTTTCTTCCCCTGGACAGAAATGTCTACCAGAGTAATTAAGCAAAACCTGTTCCCATTTCCTGAGAGATGCTGCAAAATATCTTCCCTTCAGAGCAGTGAGTCACAAGATAGGTCTTGCCCTGTTGGGAAGTTACCCATTTCTATTCCTACAAAATTTAAATTAATGCCTGGAAACTTAGTTGAATACAACTGACTGATGAACTTCATACTTCACTGAATCTGGACCGATTGACAAAATTACTTTGGGGCACCTGAGATAGCTGAAAAGCTTTGATCATTCCTTCTCAGTTTTCTTCAAATTTCTAAATGTTATGGATATACAAGATCTTTGTTATTTACATCCAAAGGCTTGTAATGTGGCTTGCATTTTCCATTTATTTACGTAAGTAAAAATTTTAATAAGGTATTAACAGTCATATATTTAATTAATTTAGACTTACTATCTGATTTTTGTCTGATCCTTTAGGTGCTGTGTGCCTCTTTTAAAACCACCCATGTCTATTTATTTCAAGAAGAGCTGTATGATATTTGCATGAGGTCATTGTACTGTGTTTTTGTTGTCATGAATTCTCTTTGCATGTATCATCAAATTATTTTGTTCTCTTTGTAATCTTCTCTTATTCCAAGAAACTCTGGTGGATAATACTCTACCACTGACTTTAAAATTTTGTTCTCCTTCCTGGGTAAGAGAAACACAGGTGAGATAGAAATTTTCCATGACATTACCTATTAGAGCTTTTCCTGTGGGCACGGAGAGCTGTTTGCTTTTGGGTTTGGGAGGGCTGAAACACCATGAGAGATGGGTGTTAAAAGCCACGTCACAAACAATTAAAAAGGATTGGCTTATATCTCTTTCCTGTGAAATTACAAATTGTTTTCTGATTTTTCAAAAACATTTCCTTTAAAATGTCTTCGAGCATTAGCGAGGATGAAGTCAGAAAGGTAATTTTAGTTTATTTGAAGCTGCACAAAGGTATAAAAAAATGAAATGCTGTGAAGAAGACAAACTTGGGGTTTTTTTTCATTCTTTCCTATTTGCCAAGCTGTGTAAAAAAAAAATAATTCTGAACCTAAGTTTTTGAAATCAAGTTGAATAAAATTTCTTCCAGTTTCAAACCCAGTAAACATGAGCTCACCTGAAGCCTGAATCAGAACAAGTGCCATACTCTGTAGAAGAGTTTAAAACTCGGTCTTGGCACTGACAAGTCATTTCAGTTGTTACTTAAAAAAAAATAGTAGTAATCCCCTAAAGTAAAAGATCATTTGATAAGGGAGATAAAAAACCAAAAACTTTCCCAGGAGATGGATTTAAATCCTCTCAAACAATTCTAAGGTTTGAGCTGTGGATAAAGACACAAATTACTCCATTCTTCACAAGATGCTCTGTTTAATATAATACAACCCATGAGGTTAGGACATGTTGCTAGCAGGCACATGACACTAGCTAGTCAACATTTGAAAAACCTTATCCGAGGTGGTGTGGCTCCTGGGGCATTCCTGCAGAGCTCCCAAGTCCCCAGGAAGGCTTCTGCTCACTTCGAGGGAGCAGCAGCACTGGAGGCCAAAACGGTGCTGGCTCCTTTCTGGTTTTTCTTGCCTTGGCAGCTGTCATTTGCGCAGCAGTTGATTCAGGATAAATGAAATTTCAGAGTGCTCATTTCTTGTTCTCCCCCTAGCTATGTAAAGGGCTAGAGTAAGAGGAAATGCTTGATAGATTAGAGGAAGGACCCTCCGGAAGAGGGGAAAAGCATGAAAATTCTCTCCACCGTTTCCAGGCAAGGTAATGTGCATAACAAGAACATGTGGGACAGCAAGAACGCTGTTCCCCTCACCATCTTTTGTTCCCTCCACCCCACTTTCACATGTCCAGGGGAAGGACAAAGGCTTGTAGCTGCTCCATGGCAGTAACCGAGTGCCTCATGGTGATGTTCTCTGCTTCACTCTAGATCTTTTGCAGGGAGAACTGAAGAGCTGTACCATTCTGCTAATTTTATGCTCTGTGTTCGTGTATACCTTCCTGTTTCTGAAACGCACTGTTTTGGTGCTGTGGCGAGGTGATGTGTTGGATTGTGTGGATGTAGTTCAAAGTACTGGAGGTTTTATTACAATCGGATGTGTGGTTGTGCCAAGGAAATGAGAAGGTGGATGCGAAGGAAGTGTCTTGGGTTGATGGTGGCACTGTGGGTACTGAGAAGGGTCAGGTGTGGGAGAGTGCAGCGCAGCCTTCTCGTCTGGACGTACCCTTAACTTGGGCGGCGGACATCGCTGGCTCGGGCAGCAGGTTCGGCAGGATTCGCTTGCCGGCCCCGCGCCCTCCCATCTCTGCGGGAATGACGGGCTTTGCGCGTCCCAGCGTTTCGGGGAGCTGGAGCGCCTCGACACGCGTCGCAGTGCGGCAGCCCGGTGTCGGGGAGGGCGCCCGGCGGGGCTGAATCCCCGAGCGGGGCTGGGCACGACAGGAGCCGCAGCCGGGAGCGGGGCACGCCCGGCCCGGGCTGACCCCGCCGGGGAGAGGGGGAACCCGTCAGGCTGGGGGGAAGGGGGACCGAGGGGACGGGAGTCGCTGCGCGGTGTGTCCCCCCCGAGGATGGGGGTTGCGGGCTGCGGAGGGGCCAGCGAGAAACTTGGAGACCACCGAGTGCGAGGGGCAGCAGCGCAGGAATCCCGACGGAGGCTCTGCCTCCTCTCCCGGGTCCTGGCGCTCCCGCCGCCAGTGGGGCCGGTCCCGGGGCTCCCCCGCCGCCGGGTGCCCAGAACCCCTCGCCCGCATCGGCCGGGCTGCAGGAGGAGGAGGAGAGGAGGAGGAGGAGGAAGAGTAGGAGGAGACCGGGCGCTTTCACTCCTGCAGAGGCTGAGGCAAAAGACAGAAAAAGGAGGAGGGGAATAAAAAGTAAAGAGGGGGGAGAGAGAGTGAAAGAAAACTAAGCCCAGCTTTTGCCGGTGCTGCTTGGATTGGATCTGGTTTGAGTTTCCTCTCTGCTGGCTTGAGCAGCAAGAGAAGGAGGAGTGGGGGGAAGTAACTCGCTCACTCTTCCTCTGAAGCTTTAGCAAGCGTGCTGGTGCCTGCGCTGGCGGGGAGCTGCCCGGGTGCAGTTTTCTCGCAGTTTATTGCTCTCAGTTTCTAGAGAACTGCCTGGACTTCTGGAGGACCTGGAGGAAAGAGACATCACAGACCTGATAGTTGCTCACTGCCTATAGACTTGACACATGTTTTTGTTTTTTTTCTTAGGGGATTCTTTTTAAAAAATATTTTTCTCCCGTGTCTCAGAACAGCAGTTCCTTGAGTGGCTTTGAAATCCATTGCTTCCTTAACAACTTCGGGAGATATTTTTAAAAACTTTTCCCCCCTCTCTTCTGTTTTCATTGCCAAAAAAAAAAAAAAAAAAAAAAAAAAAAAAAAAGGAGAAAAAAGATAATCCTTTTGGGGGAGGGGAGATGATCGTGCTGATGTGGAATAAGTGCTCCTGCTGTCTCCTCTTACTAGCCGCGGTCCTGATCGTGGAGAGCTCCCAGCTAGACAGCTCCAGCTCCAAGGTGAACTCCATCAAGTCCACCCTGATGGGGGAGGCTCCAACTCAGGCAACCAACAGATCTGCAGGCATCCACCAGGGACTGATGCTTGCTAGCAGTAAGAAGGGCAAAATGCTAGAGCAGATGGGAAAACCTCCCAAGCACTATCACCGGCAAGGAGAGGTAGGACATCACTTCATTGCTCAAGTGTCTGTCCATCTGTGTGCTGTATGTAAATAATTGCTGGTCTCCCCCCTCACATTGTTTTCAGAGCTTTAATGTGCTAAATTAATTAATTTACTTCATTGGGCTTGCCTGGGACAATATAATCTCATAATAGGTTTTAAGAACTGTGCAAGTGGGAGGTTTAAACCATTCATTTTTCTCTGTAGGGTTAATAACTGGTGGAAGAAAGAGCAGTCTAACAAACTATCATCTTCAGCATTTCTTTGTTTGATTCCTTCTGTCAGAAGCAAATCAAGAAATTTCTTCTTAACTCTCAAGATAGTAAATGAGTTGAATTTGAATAGGCGAGGAAAACTTGTATGTGAAGTTAAAATTCACAGCAGTGTAACAAACTTGGTTTTAGAAACCGCACCTGGCAAGTTGATCTCTGGTATCTGGGTGAGAATAAAGAAGCATGCCCTGTGGTCTAGTTAAGGTGCAGCCATTTGTTTAATAAGACAGGAAAAAATTCAAGGTTCCTTGTCCAGAATATGCTCCAGTGGTTGTGGAAGTTTTGTTTGGTTATGGGAGTTTGAATATAAAGAAGATAGAAGAGGTTATAGGAAAAAAAGAAAGAGGGTTAAGAAAAAAAAAAGATCCTGACTTTCTTGTGCAGTCTTCTTTCCTCTTTACCCTGCCCAGAAACTTGGAAGCCTGATAGAAAATAATCTTCATTCAACTATTTTTGTGCTAAGCTATAAAGCAGCATTTTAAGCCATCAGTCCTGCTCTTCCCTCTCAAGTCTTAACTTGGATGGTATGAATGTTGCGTGTTGTGATGTTGAAAGAGGTAGACTTGTTCAGAAAATATAGATTTTATTGGGTATTATTAGTATCTCTAAATACAGCTGCTTTTCATAAGCAACAGTGTAGCAGCAAGAGAGCTGCCAACATTCAGCACTAAAAAAGGCAAACTACTCAATGCCTAAAGGGTCTGTACTTGCTTTAATTTTCCTTATAGCATCAGAGAAGCTGCAAATTCAAGTAATCCACTGAATTTTCTGAAGTGTTTCACATCAGCTTCCTAATAATTGAATATTATAATTTGGTTTTGTGTGCAGGCATAGTAACATAGTAGTGGTAGTTTTGTTTTTGTGTGTGAGAAATTTGTTTTTAAACTCCTCCAAGCTTTCTTTCTCTAGCCACTCAACTGCTTTATAATTTACCCAGAATTTGGTTGCCTCTCCTTACCTCTAAGCAAAGTTTAGCAAGAGATGCTGTGATGAAGTTTCTTATTGCTAAAGTATTGTGCTCTTTTCTAATTCACATTTTACTAACCAGTATTATATTATTATGTTGAATCACCTTGAGGGGATAGAGGTGCCCAATGCACCTTCTTATATGTTCTCCCTGGATTTTCATTTGTTTTCAACGTATTTATAAAATGTCAAAATACAGGTCCTATTTTCCCCCACTGAGTGTTATCAGTCTCATGAGTTTTGTGAGTCTGTGCTGCCCAGCCTTTGCCTTTTGGGGAAGTCTCGCCGCCATCCCCTGTGTACAACATCCTCACCGCTTCCCTGTGTATTCAGCGCAATGTTGAGAATAATTGATTATGATTCACCCAGCTCCTGAAAAACAATTTGTGCTCCCCACCGGTTGTATTTGCAAGATTTGCCCCTAATGTGCCTGCCTGGACTGGAATTTTGAGGCACTTCTAGTTACTGGCATGAACTCACAAGGCACACTTCAAGTGAGAGACAGCACTGTAAGTATCTGTAGTGGTAGAAGAGACATCATGCATGTTAAGATTTCATGTTTGTAGCGTCAGCAAAGACCCCTGGAGAACTGGTGGCTGTGACTCCCAGGGAGTGAAGCCTGACCTTCCATCAGGGGCTGTCAGCACTGAATTTACCCTCTCTCCCTGAGATTCTGTCCCCAGATCCTGCATGGCCTCAAACAGATGTAAGTGAAAATGACACAGATTTGCTCCCAATAATTCTAGATGCTACTTTTGGCCATCTGCCCGAAGCAGCACAGTTGATGCAGAATTGCAATAAAAAGAAAAAAAGAAGGGAAAAGACAAGGAAAAGAAAATGAAAGGGAAGAGAGGGAAGAAAAGAGAGGAAAGAGAAGAGAGAAAAGAAAAGAGGAAAGAAAAGAAAAAAGTAAAGAAAAGAGAAAAATTATCTTTTGTGAAAATGTTTTCTCTTTGGTGATACTTCCAGCTGTAGGGCTGGTAAGCCGCTGCGTTTTTTTAACAGCATTGTTACACATATTGACCAATAAAGACACGACATTTCCATAATCTTTTTTGAAGTACTCTTATTAGGTTAGTGCTTAATTTGTTTAGATTACAGGACTTTGCACTGAAGTTTACCATGCCGCTTGCAAAAAAAAGCAGGCCTATGCTTTTCTTTCAAAAAAAATCTGTTGAACTAGTAGAATTTGTAAAGTCTAAATAGTAAGAGTATCTTTTATACCTTGGCAACATTAGATGGTGAGTTGAGTGCCTTCTTTGCAACAAGGAAATAGATTTATAAGACCAAGGATATGCAAGTAAAAGAAAAAATAATAGAATTTTGCTGTTGTGAGGGCTCTGAGCTGTGCTTTCAGCTCTGCACATACCCGTGGTGGAAATCACCAAAACTGATGAAAGGACCATCAGCCTACAACCCATTTGCTTTTCAATTATGTTAATTCTCAGGACTAGGAGCAACTTGGGAGTGTTTAATCAGCAATAAATCAACCAATACAATAGTTCATGGCTTATCTGGAGTGTTGATGTTTTTCAGCTGGTAGTTACAGTGTTTCTGCCCAGAAAGGGAAGATCCAGCACTCTTTTGTCAGGCAAAGTTCCAGTTTAAATTAATAAAAATACTCACATGAGCAAAGCAAACTGATCCAGCTTGCAAGAGAGACTGGCGGGGCAAATGTGGATTTTAGTAAGACTTAACGTTTTTATGTCTTTCTGAGGAATATTATTTATTTTCTGTTCTATTCCCTTTACTGCCTTGGATCAGCAAAGAATGAGAAGTACTGATGTGCTAAATTGGTGAGATTTCATTCTCTTCACTTTTCTATGTTGTCACTGCTGCTTTTCCTTTTCCGTGAATTGTTAATGTTTCCCCATTTTCACAGAGAATCAGAAAGTATCTCCAGCATTTGCCCAAGGGAAAAACATGCTCAAAATAGTACTGTGCAGTGCATGCTAATCTAGGTTACTTTGGGGGGTCAGGATTATATACTGTCAGCTATTTGTTTCCTTTTAAAACTTGATTTAAAGAAATGCTTCTAGGGACATCCAACACCTCAGTTCTGTGACCTGTCTGTGAAAGTGTTCTGGGTATGTCCCCTCTCCAGGTAAAATGATACAGGGGTCATGATTGACAGTGAAGATTAATTTTTTGGTGTGTTAGCTATAACTTCCACTGTGTTTGGTCAAGGTCTCCCGTATGAGTGCTCTAGCTCGACTATAGAGATACAACCTGCAAGTAAAAATAGAACATAATGTATGGTGCCTGTAAAGCATAGCCATTCCACAGATTATTGGTTGATGACTTTGTAGCCTCTTCAATTCACTTCAACACCTTTTAGCCTTCTTGCCTCTGTCTTTTAGTCCCCTCTCTCTGAGATGTGTCTCCTCCATCAATGCTGGGGTTTGCATGCCTTCACACTCAACCACCTTTAATGATCTGGTAGGCTGTGACCTACCAGGCTTTATTTCCAGCTATTTTCCTTCTTTAATCTATGGCTGCTACTATCTTCTCCCCTTCCCACCTCCTGGCCACAAGCTGTTGTTTCAGCTCATTCTTCAGCAAGACGTGTCTCTCAGTCCCTTTGTCACTCTGCTGCTGCATAGCTGTTTGGGTTTGTGCTTCCCATTGAGGCTGTCCCTTCCCCATGAACATGATGGGAGCAGTAGCAATGAAGGGAAGAACTGGAACATCCAGTAGAGGGAACTGGCACATCTGTGAGGCTGACTAAGAGATAATAAGGTCTGGAAAAGGGAGAGAGGAGTGAAAAGCTGGGACAAATTTCAGCGCTGCAGAAGCACAACAGACAGCTATCAGATAAGCCTTAGTATTCCAAATGCACTCAGTTCAACGTTAAAGATGTGTTTATTTTTTTAAAATTCCATTGCAGCTTGAGCTAAGAGGTTCAAGACCACAGAAGCCAAACCAAAGAGGCATTTATTCAAATTACTAATTTGATACTGATCTCATACCTATTAATGCATGGACATACATGTGTTTCTTGGACGGGACATACTTACCCACAAGGACTTGCTAGAAAATGTTTGGATGATGCTTTGTAGAGAGTAAAACAGCATGAGATGAAGTAATTGAATGCAGTGCCCTGACAGTGTTACAATAAAATGTACCAAAGACACCAAAAATGTAACCACAATATCTTAAATAGCTAGCAACTAAGGCAGCAAAAATTATTTCTTCATGGGATTAAAATTAAATTCATTAAAATAACTAGAAATTATGTCCAGTAATAGCTGCCTTCTTTTTTTTTTTTTTTAATTAAAAAAAAAATACAGAATTGCTAAATCTGCAGAGGCCACCAGAGAATTAATTCTTTGCTCTTGCTGTTTGGTGTTAGAGATCTGGGTGACATACTGGTTTACTAGCAGCAGTCTTGCTAAATAACATACTGGCTTCTCTCTTAATTGCAAAAAGTGGGGTGCAGAGGTTATTATTTCCTTCCTGGGTCATGCTTGGTGTCCCCTTCAAATTGTTATTATTGACTGACATAATAACATAGAGGAAAAGCTCCTATAAAGTACTTTTCTGCAAGTATTTCTTATGAGCTTTGCAACAATGCCTAGAAAACTTCTAGAACTCTGATATGCTGCTGGGTGTGCACATACTTAGGAAGAGTCAGTTTCTGTATGGAAAGTCTGTCAGAGCTTAATGACAGCACAAAAGATGATGAAGCATGATTACATTTTCCACTCAGAAAAGTGAGTCTGATTAACTCATTGTGTTTGATTAACTGATGCTTTGCAGA